ATGATGCGGGGCTATTAGCTAGGTCCGACCAAACCAGCATTGAGATGTTTTCTATTGGAGAACACATTCTAGCGATTCAAGGTCATCCTGAGTACACAATGGACATACTCTTCAATCTTGTAGAAAGACTCAGAAACCAGAATGAGATTGAGGTAAACTAGTCTTTTTTTAATGGGTAGGAGTCGAATTTGAGATGCAGTGTTGCTTGACGTGAACTGCTAACCACTCTCAGGCCAAGCCCAATTCCTAAGGGTGTTTTTTTTTGGTGTATTTCTTGTATCTCTCTTTTTGTTTTACTTTCCTTTTTCGCATTTATGACTTGGTGAGATCATTTTTCAGAGTGATTTTGTGGAGGACTTAAAGGCTAGATTGGAGTCTGCTGAACCTGAGAGGGAGGTTTGGAAAAAGATTTGCAAGAATTTCCTCAACCGACGATTGACTCGTGAACCTTTGAAATTTATCATGGTGGAGGATGTATGAAGGGTCTCTCTCCACGTTGGGCTTGATCCCATTACAATGCAAAACGATGTTGTCATCTAGTGCTATCCTTGAGTTTGCACGTCTATCTGTTTTCATGATTAGTCTTTGATAATCTTTATTTGGAAAAGTAATTTTTTGCGTCCCGGGACGCATTTCTGTTCTTGGAGATGGATGTTACGAAATGACAACCCTATAAATTGTTAAAGTCACTGCTATCAAAATTATCATCGTTATCCGAGCTTTTTCCAACTATTTGAAGTAAGCTACATGAATATTCTCCCGCCATTCTATTTTATCAAAGACCATAACTTTAGTGTCAGTCTTATTATCTTTTTTCACTATTTTCAATCATGTCCTTTTAGACTTACCTCTTGTCTTTTTTTTAATCTTCTACTTGAACTAACTCGTATATCCTAATAGGTGTTGTACTGAATCTATGCAGCACATAGCTGGCCCACCTAAATTTATTTTATCTTATTTTATCATTTATTCAAGTCACACTTAAGTTCTCCTTAGTGTATTGATTTCAAATTCTTTCACATCTTGTCTTGCCACTCATTCCTCTCAACATCATCATCTTAACTACATTAATCCTATAGATATATTGTTTATTGACCACCTAATATTCTGCCCTATAAAGCAAATCTGGTCTCACAGTTGTCCTATAGAACTTCCCCTTCAACTTTATACAGCGATCACATAAAACTCTCGTTTCACATCTGTACTTCCCCCACCTAGCTCTAATTTTATGTGCAACGCCTTCCTCAGTCTCTCCATTTTTTTGGATTATTGACTCAAGATATTGAAAATATACGTTTTTTTCGTGTTTGAAATTTATGTGTTTTTTCTTAGTTACTATATATATCATTGTTGAGATGATACATTCCTTATAATTTTGAATCTAAAATCTACCTCTAAAATACATTTTAGATAGAGGGCTCATTTCGATAGGTGAGTCGACAAACTCATAGAAACCTTAACCATCTTATTTTGTTCATCAAGGGGCCAATTTATAAAGGAATACATGGGCTTGTGTAAATGAGCCAAAGTCATACATAGCCATGGGCCAGCGTTTATGTAATAATAATTGGCTTAAAGGAAGGAGGGAAGGGCTTTCTCTGACGATTGAAAAAAAGTAAACTAAATTGTTGGGTCCTCTCAATATTATCACAATATAATCACAATTTTAATAAAATAAGCTTTTATATCAAAAGATGTTTTCAAATTGCCGAGTTATACATATATTTACTCTTCTTAGTTTTGGAAAGGACACAGTTTCTAGGAGTCCCTATAGAGATGAGTCACCTCTTAAAAATCTATTTTTGAGATGGATTTTTTGACCTAATTTTTAAAGACATGTAATCTCTAACATGAAGATCATGAATATGAAAAAATAAACAAATTTCAAAAATTAAAAATAATAATTCTACTATAAACATTTGGACAGTTAGTTTCAGTTGTTTTTAAATGGACCACCTATTTGCATCCATCTATAAGATGGATGCTTTATACCTGAGGGACCGCAAATGCAGAAATGCAATCCCCGCTCGCCGCATGAAACAATTTTCCTCTTGAAAATCCACACAAAGCTTTCTTTTGCCTTGATTTCTTGCCCCTGATTTTTTGGACAAAAAACTAAATCATTACTATTTGCAGTTTGCTGATGGTCATCATTCCTCAACTTACTATATCAAGATTATCTACCCTATAAAAGTTGGGAAAGTATATAACGAGACTATTTATTTTTGATACAAGGTGGTCACAATTAATCTTAACTATTAAATGTGAAATTCGATGGCTGCATTTATTTCATCAACCAATCTCAAAGTTCAAAAAAAATTTTCTCGAACTTTGTGGTACATCCAAACTATCAGATTTCACATCGGATGATTGTATATAATTGTAATCTCCCTATACTAAAAGTAAATTATCTCGTTGTATACAATCCCATAAAAAATTTAGGTCTAAGAGCCATATAAGACAAATAATCGAAACACAAGACAGTACATGGTGGGCGGATGCACCAAAACTATCTTTAACACTAGAAACCATTTAACATGAGTTGCGTATCGACCTAAGTTGTAAGAAACGCATTGTCGGCCATGGAATATGGATGGAGATATTGTAGAAATCCACGAGCCAAGTGCCCCAATTTCATTGCAAACCTAGAAGAGTGCTTGTCTCTTTTCAAGTGATGGAAACTCTTGAGACACACGCTACATATTTGATGTCAGGAGTATTCATGTATAACCTTAGGTAAATTCCAATATAAACAATGGAGACGGACCCGACCTGTGACCCAAGGGGTAGACCAGATCTGGGTCTAGGTATGGATCTAAAAATTGGACTCGGTAGACCGGTTGTGGGTTCAAATCTTAGACCCGAACACTATTTAGGTATGGGTCCGGTAATATTTGTCAAGTCCCAAAACATGAAATATATCTAAATATAGTTAAATATATAGGTGTTTTAATTTTTGGGTCGGGTTCGATCGGGTCCAGGTCCCACACTATATTTTATGTTGCCACCCCTAAATATAAGTAATTTTTGGACCAGAAATTTTGGGGATGTGACTTCTTCATTATGCAAACTAAACTCAGTGAATGAAATTTCCAAAAATTGAACTCTCCATGTATTATCAAGATTGAATAGAGATCGTCCAATTTAAGGGCGAGATCTAGGTGTCAAAAAACTCAAAATTCAAAAAAAAAAATTCTTTTGAAAGTAATCATCTAATGATTCTTAGGTGATTCTCACTATTTTGTCGCAAAATCCCCCAATAAAGTTTTTT